ATTTTTCGGGTCTTGCAGCTTACGCCATTTGTCAACAGCAAAACGACCTCTGAAACTCCTCTCCCTGACCTGTGAAGTTTGAAGAGAAAGGAAAAGTTGGTTTAGGAAGTCCAGAGGTATATATGTAGCAGTGGGAGTAGTAACGAAGTTCTTGACATTGCAGCGTTTTTTTTTTTTTTTTTTTTTTTTTTTTTTTTTTTTTTTTTTTTTTTTTTTTTTTTTTTTTCCCCTAAAAAATCCCTGCAATGTCAAAGAATAGTGGGATTAGAGAGTCGAGAGGTAAATATAGAAGAGGAAAAAAGAAGGGAGAAACGGAAGGGTGTGGTTTGGTTCTTGAGTGAATTTTGAGAATTCTCAAAAGAAACGGAAGAGGTGGTGGTAGTTGGTTCTTGGCCTGGAATTTTGGCCCTCACCAATGAGATGGGTTGAAGAATTAATGGAGGGCCTCAATAATCTTGGTTAAAATTCAGCCAAGATTTTGGGGTTTCAATAATCTCCCACCTAACCTTCTAGGCTAGATAATATGGCCATGGTTCAGTTCCCAACCCCCAGCTTGGGTAAACCCTAGTTGTGCACCCAAATAAAGTATGGGTGGCTATCTCTTCCCAAGCTAATTTAGGATACATGCAGCATACAAGAGGAGTAGTAACCTGATACGACCCACCCCCTCCCCACCAGGTTTTTCCGTGACTATTTATCACAGTGCTAGTGGTGTGGGTGGCAATGAACATGCTGGCAGACACCTTTGCAGCCATGGACATCTTTCCCAGCGAGGTGCAGCTGCTCCTTCTCTCAACTCCTCTCCCCTTCTGCCCTCTCATCCCCCTTGCACCCTCATCCCCCTTGCACCCTCATCCCCCTTTGCAGCCACGGACATCTCTCTCCTTGCACCAGCTGTTTCTCAACCCTCCCCCCCTTCTCCCTCTCCCTCTCAACCCCAGGTGTTCCCCCTACTGTTCATCATAATTCTCATCGTGTGGGAGGCAATGAACATGCAGGTAGACACCTTTGCAGCCATGGACATCTTTCCTACCGAGGTGCAGCTGCTCCTTCTCTCAACCCCTCTCCCCTTCTGCCCTCCCATTTCCCTCTCTCTCCCACCTCCCTCTCCCTCTTCCCCCACTCTCCTCTCCCTCTTCCCCCCCAGGTGTTCCCCTTCTGTTCATCATAATTCTCATCGTGTGGGTGACGATGAACATGCTGGCAGACACCTTTGCAGCCATGGACATTTTCCTTATTGAGGTGCAGCTGCTCGCCATGGTCGCCAACTTCAACCTCAACTTCCCCGCCTCCTGGGTCAAGACCGTCGTGCTGCTATACAACATCGCTGCGTTTGATCCCGTGAGTTTTCCTGCCGTTGTCACTGTGAGTGGCTCTCAAAGATGGGTCAAGTCAAGACTGTCGTAAGAAGCGCTGACTTTTTTGGTGGACTTCAAAATCTTGAGTCAAGATTCGAGTCATGCTACTCTACAACTTTTGGCGTGCAGACTTTGATGAGGATTTTAAAAATTTCAGCATTTCGTGGACTCAACAGTCGGTCATGAATGATGGTTGACGACGCCGCGATGGTCGAGACTTTTGAGTCGACTCAAAAGTCAACTCGGTGATGATGGTTGACAGTCATGCTGCTTTACAAGCTCAACTCAAAGAGCGGGGCAAGACCGCCGTGCTACATGTCAGTGTCTCTGCTTTCATCACAATGAGCGACCCTTGTTGTAGTCTAGTCGCAATATGTTTGGATGTGCCTAATACGAAGGCTAGAGTGCACGTACAGATGCAGCAACAAATCGTGTGTTTTGAACCCGCAAGCCAAGAAGTTCAACAGTAGGAAGGTTGGTCGGGGCGTGCATTACAATTGGTCAAGATTTTGGGTGCCAGGGTCACACTCAACCGAAGCTAGGAAGGTTGGACCAATTTGGGCTTTCTTGGCCTGCGGGTTTTAATTGCACACAGTGTTTCATTATGGCCTTCGATTGGCAAGTTGAATTTCAATTGGCCGCGCTGTTGGAATCAAGGGATGAAGGTATGGTACAGAGTTCTGAAATTAATTTGAAATTGAAATGTCTTCCCGCCTCTACAAACCCCCAAATACGAGGTTCAGGATTGTGAAAAGATTGCATGTTCTTTTCAACTACATATTATCTACCGTTTTCGCCATCTTGATGATTGCCGTCATGGTATGATCCAGGTATAGTTTATTCTTTCTTAGAATTCTAATTTAAGTCTCCATAACGAAGTTTAGGGCTTGCATTACTCCCCTCTTGCATGCTGAACGTTCGACAAACCAAAAAGAAAGTGCACATAGCGCTCACACGACGTGTGTCAACATGTGACTAGAAAAAGGGGTCTGGACACGCACATACAACACTATGGTTCGCCACACAATCTGCGTGAATTTCACGCAGATTGTGTGGCGAACCATAGTGTTGTATGTGCGTGTCCAGACCCCTTTTTCTAGTCACATGTTGACACACCGTGTGAGCGCTATGTGCACTTTCTTTTTTGGTTTGTCGAACGTTCAGCATGCAAGAGGGGAGTAATGCAAGCCCTAAACTTCGTTATGGAGACTTAAATTAGAATTCTAAGAAAGAATAAACTATACCTGGATCATACCATGACGGCAATCATCAAGATGGCGAAAACGGTAGATAATATGTAGTTGAAAAGAACATGCAATCTTTTCACAATCCTGAACCTCGTATTTGGGGGTTTGTAGAGGCGGGAAGACATTTCAATTTCAAATTAATTTCAGAACTCTGTACCATACCTTCATCCCTTGATTCCAACAGCGCGGCCAATTGAAATTCAACTTGCCATCGAAGGCCATAATGAAACACTGTGTGCAATTAAACCCGCAGGCCAAGAAAGCCCAAATTGGTCCAACCTTCCTAGCTTCGGTTGAGTGTGACCCTGGCACCCAAAATCTTGACCAATTGTAATGCACGCCCCGACCAACCTTCCTACTGTTGAACTTCTTGGCTTGCGGGTTCAAAACACACGATTTGTTGCTGCATCTGTACGTGCACTCTAGCCTTCGTATTAGGCACATCCAAACATATTGCGACTAGACTACAACAAGGGTCGCTCATTGTGATGAAAGCAGAGACACTGACATGTAGCACGGCGGTCTTGCCCCGCTCTTTGAGTTGAGCTTGTAAAGCAGCATGACTGTCAACCATCATCACCGAGTTGACTTTTGAGTCGACTCAAAAGTCTCGACCATCGCGGCGTCGTCAACCATCATTCATGACCGACTGTTGAGTCCACGAAATGCTGAAATTTTTAAAATCCTCATCAAAGTCTGCACGCCAAAGTTGTAGAGTAGCATGACTCGAATCTTGACTCAAGATTTTGAAGTCCACCAAAAAAGTCAGCGCTTCTTACGACAGTCTTGACTTGACCCATCTTTGAGAGCCACTCACAGTGACAACGGCAGGAAAACTCACGGGATCAAACGCAGCGATGTTGTATAGCAGCACGACGGTCTTGACCCAGGAGGCGGGGAAGTTGAGGTTGAAGTTGGCGACCATGGCGAGCAGCTGCACCTCAATAAGGAAAATGTCCATGGCTGCAAAGGTGTCTGCCAGCATGTTCATCGTCACCCACACGATGAGAATTATGATGAACAGAAGGGGAACACCTGGGGGGAAGAGGGAGAGGAGAGTGGGGGAAGAGGGAGAGGGAGGTGGGAGAGAGAGGGAAATGGGAGGGCAGAAGGGGAGAGGGGTTGAGAGAAGGAGCAGCTGCACCTCGGTAGGAAGATGTCCATGGCTGCAAGGTGTCTACCTGCATGTTCATTGCCTCCCACACGATGAGAATTATGATGAACAGTAGGGGGAACACCTGGGGTTGAGAGGAGAGGGAGAAGGGGGGGAGGGTTGAGAAACAGCTGGTGCAAGGAGAGAGATGTCCGTGGCTGCAAAGGGGGATGAGGGTGCAAGGGGGATGAGGGTGCAAGGGGGATGAGAGGGCAGAAGGGAGAGGAGTTGAGAGAAGGAGCAGCTGCACCTCGCTGGAAAGATGTCCATGGCTGCAAAGGTGTCTGCCAGCATGTTCATTGCCACCCACACCACTAGCACTGTGATAAATAGTCACGGAAAAACCTGGTGGGGAGGGGGTGGGTCGTATCAGGTTACTACTCCTCTTGTATGCTGCATGTATCCTAAATTAGCTTGGGAAGAGATAGCCACCCATACTTTATTTGGGTGCACAACTAGGGTTTACCCAAGCTGGGGGTTGGGAACTGAACCATGGCCATATTATCTAGCCTAGAAGGTTAGGTGGGAGATTATTGAAACCCAAAAATCTTGGCTGAATTTTAACCAGATTATTGAGGCCCTCCATTAATTCTTCAACCCATCTCATTGGTGAGGGCCAAAATTCCAGGCCAAGAACCCAACTACCACCACCTCTTCCGTTTCTTTTGAGAATTCTCAAAATTCACTCAAGAACCCAACCACCACCCCTTCCGTTTCTCCCTTCCTTTTTTCCTCTTCTATATTTACCTCTCGACTCTCTAATCCCACTATTCTTTGACATTGCAGGGATTTTTTTAGGGAAAAAAAAAAAAAAAAAAAAAAAAAAAAAAAAAAAAAAAAAAAAAAAAAAAAAAAAACGCTGCAATGTCAAGAACTTCGTTACTACTCCCACTGCTACATATATACCTCTGGACTTCCTAAACCAACTTTTCCTTTCTCTTCAAACTTCACAGTCAGGGAGAGTTTCAGAGGTCGTTTTGCTGTTGACAAATGGCGTAAGCTG